CCCTCTGACCCTCCTCCCTTTCATGCTCTCTGTCTCTCATTCTCTCTCTCTCAAATAAATAAATAAAATCTTTAAAAAAAAGAAGTCTTTAACAAAATATTAGCAAATGGAATTCAGCAATATATAAAAATAATATATACACCATGATGGAGTTTGTTCCAGGGATGCAAGGCTGTTTCAGTATTCCAAAATCAATCAATGTAAGGTAGCATATTAAAGAAGAAAAATTGGGGCGCCTGGGTGGCTCAGTCGGTTGAGCGTCTGACCCTTGATCTCAGCTCAGGTCTTGATCTAGGATCGTGAGTTCAGGCCCTGTGCTGGGCTCCACACTGGGCATGAAGCCTACTTAAAAACAAAGAAGAAGAAAAATAACATAATTTAATGCATAAAAAAGTATTTAATAAAATTCAACATTCATTCATTAAAAACTCTCACAATATGACTAGAGGAGAACTTCTTCAGCTTGAAAAGAGCATTTACAAAAAAACCTACCGCCAACATCACGCTCAGCAGCGAAGGCCTGAATGTTCTACTCCTATGACGGAACAAGATGAGGATGTCCACTCTCACTTCTTTTTCAGCAGTGCCGGAAGTTCAAGTCCGTGCAGAAGGCAAGCAAAGGAAATATAAGGAATACAGATTGGAAAGGAAGTGGTAAAACTGCCCCTTTTTGTAGATCACATGATGGCCTCTGTAGAAAATCCCAAGGAACAGATAAGAAAACTCCTAGGACTGATGAGTGAATTCAGCAAGATCATAGGTTACAAGATAAGCATACAAAAATTGATTGTATTTCTGTATATTGGTAATGAATGTATGAACAACAAAATTAAAAATACAGTACCATTTATAATCACTCAGAAATACTCAGATATAAGACTTGTAAGCTGACAACTATTAATGTGGCTAAAAGAAAGCAAAGATCTAAATATGTGGAGAGACATGCTATGTTCATGGATCAAAAGACTCAATATAGTAAAGGTCAGTTCTCCCCAAATTGATATCTCAGTTTAGCCCAATTTCTATCAAAAGCCCAGCAAGTAGACCAATGGAACAGAATAGATACAACCAGAAATATGCCCAAATGACTTTTGACAAAGATACAGAAGTAACTTGGTGGAGGAAAGACACTCTCAGCAGATGGTACTGGAGCAATTAGACATCCTTACGCAGACGACAAACCTCAGCCTAAGTCTCACAGCTTGTAAAATACTAATTCAGGATACATGATGAACTTAAATGTGAAATAAAACTATAAAACTTTTAGGGAAAAAAAAAAAATAGGAAAACATCTTCAGGCTCTAGGCCTCAGCAAAGAGATCTCAGACTTGATACCAAAAGCATCCATAAAGGGAAAAGTTGATAATTGAACTTCATCAAAATTTAAACCTTTCTCCCTGCAAAACAATTTGTTAAGAGGATGAAAAGACAAGCTGTGCACTAGAATATGTCCTCAAAGGACTAGTATCTAGAATACATAAAGAAAACTCTCAAAATTCAACAGCCAAAACCCCCAAACAATTCAGTCAAAAAATGGGCAAAAGACACTCACAGACATTTCACCAAAAAGGATACACAGATAGCAAATAAGCACATGAAAAGATACTGAACATTTTTAGCTATTAGGGAAATGCAAATTAAAACCACAATGAGACATCACACCTACCAGAACGGCTAAGACAAAAACTAGAGACAACGCGGAGTGCTGTTGAGGATGCAGAGACTCAGCTTCACTCATACATGGCCAGGGGGGTAGAAATGGGACAGCTGCTCTGGAAAACAGCCTGGCATTGTCTCTTAAAACTAGATTTGTGCCCACCACACAACCTAGGAATTTCACTCCTAGACACTTATCCCAGAGACATGCAGACTTACGTTCCCACAAAAGCCTGGACACAAGTGTGTCTAGCAGCTTTCTTCGCAATGGCCACAAAGTGCAGGGAGCTCAGCTATCCTGTAACGAGTGGCTGGCACACTGTGCGTGGACACTACTCAGTCATGGAAAGGGATTAGCTGTTGATACACACAGCCGCCTGCAAGGAACGTCTAGAGAATTATGCTGAATGAAACAAGCCAATCCCCCAGAATTATAACTGATTCCATTTATAGAACATTCTTGAAGTGACGGAATTAGAGATGGAGAACAGGTTAGCAGCTGCCCGGGGCTAAGGAAGGGATGGGACCCAAGGCAAGCAGGTCTGGTTATAAAAGGCCAACAGGAGGGACCTTGGTGGTGGTGGAAATGTTCTGTATCTTATCCACATCCTGGTTGTGATCTTGTACGACAGTGTTACTGGGAAGCTGAGTAATAGGTACACAGAATGTCTCTACATTGTTTCTTATAACCACGTATGAATCTACATTATCTTTAAAACAAAGTTTAATTAAAAAAAGAAGAAGAGGTAGAACATCATGTGTTCGGGAAGCCCTAATAGGGTAGCTCAGTATGTGAACTGGGAGTGGGAAGCAGGGTTTGCATGACTCCAGAAGGAGGCAGAGGAGGCTGACCAAATGCTCGGGGTGGACGGGGGGCGTGCGGGGCGGCGGTGGGGAGACAGGCTCCAGGTTCTACACAGGGTCCCGGCTCCTCCACCTGGGCAGCGCCTCTTGCCACTCACAGGGCATAGACCTTGAGAGATGCTCTTGGTCCGGCCGTGCGGTCCCACAGATGAGGGGGGTGAGGCCCGAAGAGGGGATGGCATTAGGATCCCACAGTGGTCGAGGAGGGGTGTAGGATAAGCTCAGACCTCTGGATTCTCCACGCAGAGCTCCTTGCTCTTCCCAGACCATCCCCAGGTGTCAGAGCCCGTCTCCGGGGACAGAACTGACCAATGAACTTGTCAAAGGGAGATCAGCAGGATCGCGTTACCTGTAATGCCTTGTGCTTCCTGTTTGCTTATCTGGTTATCTGTTGGTCAGCAGCGGCAGCCAGCTCCCAAGACTTAAGCAAACTTCAGCCAAAACTTAAAATTCAGAAAATTATGGGCACCTGGGTGGCTCAGTTGGTTGGGCGACTGCCTTCGGCTCAGGTCATGATCCTGGAGTCCCTGGATCGAGTCCTGCATCGGGCTCCCTGCTCGGCAGGGAGCCTGCTTCTGCCTCTGACCCTCCCCCTTCTCATGTGCTCTCTCTCTCTCATTCTCTCTGTCTCAAATAAATAAATTTTAAAAATCTTTAAAAAAAATTCAGAAAATTATTATGTTAGTGATTTATTTTGTTTTTCCTGAAAATAGAGTGAAGAGTTCTGTTTTCAGCTTGTTAGGTCTGAGGGAGAGCCTCCGGTCTTCAGGGGTCCTCCTGCCCTTTCCTGCACCCACACAATCTCTAGTAACCAACGACTCGTCCCACGGGACAGTTGAGAGGCTGCAGCTGAACGGTCAGCTGATGGGAACAGCGCAGAGCTGGGGTCTTTGGACCCCCACTGGGTTCGACAAGGGGGCCCTGGGCTCCGCAGCTGGAGGAGGGGTTTCTCCTGTGTAGGAAAAGGGCCCGGACAGAATTGTCCATGTGGACACCCAGCGTATGTTGCCCAAGGCGGGCCGTGTGGACGGTGAGTGGACCAGGAAGCTGGGCGTGAGGGTTTGGGGGCTGCAGCGCCATGGGGGCAAGCACATGGCACGTATTTAGGAAAGATGTGGGTGTGATTTTGTTTTCAGTTGAACCCATGACTTTCACAGACTGGATTCTGTCCTAGGACATTTGTTCATTGCTTTGCGTGGAAATAGGATTGAAACCCTTGTCTCTTACAGGACCGAGAACACGCCGATGATCGCCGGCCTTGGGAAGGTAAGCCCTGGTGAGCTTGGGCAGATGGAGCAGGCACTTCGTCTCGTGTGTGGGAAAACCTGAGTCTTCCTCCAGCTGAGTCTCCTTTGCTCCCTCGTGCCCGCCACTCACACAACACTCCCAACCCCGGAGGTGGGTGTCGGGGGCAGGTTTCCACACAGAGCAGTTCTGTGACCCCAACTGGGCGTCCCGCCATTGAACTCGATTCTGACACTGGCTACCTGGAGACAGGTCAGGGGCTCAGGCCCACAGGACTGCCCGCCCAGCACCCCTTCAGACACCAGACGTAAGTCCCATGTGTCACCTGTGTTTCTGACTCCAGTCCAAATATTAGAACCAGAGATCCTCCTGCTGTTCCTATCACTTAGGAAATTCCTGGAGTTTCGGGAGCTCAGTGCTGGGACCAGGGCAGAGACCTGTATACTTTCTATCCTCTTACAATCCATTCCCCCAGCGGCTTTACCAGGTATCCAGGGCCTTGGGGAGATCATGTTCATGGGCCCAATAAATGGACTGAGGTTAGAAAAAGCCTCAAATTGTATTTATCACCCCAGAGTGTACTTTTTGAGATCTGTAGAGTGGATTGATTGCTCGTGTTTAGCACTGACATGGAAAAGCTCTTTTCAAGCCTCTGCTAATATAAGAAATACAGTGACGTCTTTACAGCAGAGACCCACAGTCGGGCCCACGGGTGGCTTGTTCCCTGGGGCCGTCTCCACCCCCCAAGCCCTGGCTGTCCCACCTACAAGATGCAGCTTGTATGCAGCTTGATGGCAGCCCACCGGCTCACTGGCCCCTCAGCTCCAGCCTGCAGCTGCACCTCCCCCAGGTTCTCTGACCCTCCCTGACTCCCCACTGTCCTCCGTGCATGCAGTCTGGCCTTTCACACACCCAGCTTCACGAGGCCCCTCTTCCCTAGGTTAAGTCCAGGTGTCTTCCCGGCTTCCCACCACCCCTTTCTCTGTGTGCCTCCTAAAGAAGGGCCCCTCCTGCAGTCGTCCCCTCTGCCCGTCCTCCTGATCCTCTCCACTAGAACGTTATAGCCTCCACAGCCCTGCGACCTCCTCCCCTCCCTCCCATTCCTGACACCCAGTCTCACTCCTTTCTCTTCCCCGGAACTTGCAGAGGAGGCCCAGCCCCATGCACTGCTGCTGGCATGCCTCCCCCAGCTAGTTCCCCTCCGCCCTGGCCAGGCCTTGGCCTCTTCACCTGCTGGTGGGCCTCCCAGCACCATCCCAGCCTCCTCTCCACAGCTGCTCCCTCGTGGCACTCATCCTGTCCTGCAGCTCCACCAGCCTGTGCTCAGGGCTTTGAACTTGGCATCTCAGGGCAGGTCCTGACCTTTCTGAGAAACCCAGGTCCCCACCTGCTTACTTGACATTCCCTCTGGGCCCACGTGTGTGTCTCTCCTCCCTGGTTCCCCTCTCTCCCCATGGTGCCTCCTGCCATCCGGGACCTCACTTCAGAAATCTAGGCGGTGCCTTGGTCCCTCCTGGTCCTTGCCTACACTGATGAGCAGCCAGCCAGTCCTGTCTGTCCTGTCTCCACAATATATCGAGGTCTGCGTCTTGTGTGACTCTTGGACCAGGTCATCCGCATCTGTAGTCTGGACGCCTGCCTGCCGTGGTCCCTTCCATTCTCTGCACAGCACCCAGAATGGTTGTTACACATGCAAGTCAGGGCATCTCACCTCTTTCTCAAAACCTACATGCATTTGTGCCTTTGCACTTGGGTCCTGGCCCTGCCTGTCATGGGGACCTGGGGCCCTGTCCCCCTTGGTCACTCCATCCCAGGAGCGCACTTGCCCCTCCCTCTGCCATGGCCGTGAACACCCTAGGTCCACGCACTGTCACCTTCACATCTCCTACCCTGCGTGTCCCGCATGCCCCGCGCGCCCGTCAGAGCGCTCTCCCCAGTTGGTATGATGCTGTTCCCGCTTCCCTTCGGTCCTCGGTCTCCAGAATGGTTGTGCCTCGAGAACTGGGAGTGCTCTTTGCTCTTACGGGCAGTACCTGGTGCCTGGAGGTATCAGGAAGCGCCTGATAAAGTAAATTCCTGTTAAACAAGTGAAGGTAACTCTTCTCAAGCTCTGACCATGGCCCCTGCCACACGGTTGCACTCAGTAAATATTATCTATTCGAGATTTTCCAGGAAAAGAGCAGTTTGAAGAAATGTCACTTCTCTATCATCAGGAAATCTCACCTCTGCTCTTGAAGGCTGCTTTATTCTCCTTGTTTTATGACAATTGAACATGCTTTCTTGCGTTACCGTCCCTGTCCCCAGGCTGCTGAGCTGGTGACCAGGAATTGCGAGGCTTACGAGGCCCACATGAGAGATGTTCGTGACTACCTGGAGGAGCGGCTGGAGGTGAGCCTGGGGTTCGCGGGGTTCGGGGGGGCAGCCTGGAGTCTGGGGGGGCCCCAGCCTTCCTCCAGTGAGCTGAGGGTCAGGGGTGCCGCCCCAGGCAGCAGGCAGGACAAGGACGGGGGTTGTTTGAAACTCAGTCCAGGGATTCTGGGGACAGTCAGGGTAGAGGCTAGAGGACGGAAGCCTGGGTCAGGAGACCCCCCAAGTTGGGCTCTAGGTCAAGTGGCTGACCTTCATAAAGGCGTGATAGAAATGCAGCAGAGCTAGTGGACTTGATGATTGTATGGAGGAGAGTCACACGTATTCAGAATTTTTTTCTCCTGATTAACTTTGCTTTCTAGTCAGTCCCTATAACTATTATAGGCAGATGCTTATTGATGAACTAATTATTTTATGTGTCGAGGTTGAGATTTTGTTTTCCAGAAAAGGCTCGAGGTCAAACAGTTGGGGTGCAGAGGGGGGCTGTGTGTTTTGAAACTACCTCTGAAGACTTCATTGACTTTTCAGGCTGAATTTGGTAAGCAGAGAATCCATCTGAACAGCCAGTTTCCAGGGACTGAGCGACTCCCCAACACATGCAACTTTTCTATCCGGGGACCCCAGCTCCAAGGTGACGAGGGTCTCCCGGTCTCCGCATGGGGTGGTGGGCGCCGGAGGGAGCAGAGTGGCCCCCTAGGGCGGGTGTCCCCAGGAGGCCAGGCCGGTCTTGGCCGCTTCCCGCTCTCCCTGCCTGGGCTGTTGGTGCAGCGCTGGCCCCAAGCTGAGAGGGAAGGAGATGAGATGCACTAAATTTTAGGCTAGCTCATCCATTTCCATCAGCAAGTTTGACAAAACCTTTCACGAGGATAAGGGAAGGGAGAGGCAGTCAACTTTAAAATTTGGCTCAGAGTCAGGAGGAAGTGCACATGTGTGGGACTCGTTCCTGTGATAACTGCCTCCCAGCTGGAAACCATTGGGATTCCTGGAATCCAGAAGATAAAACATGGCTCACCCAGGGCCCTGGGGCCGAGTCCAGGGAACTGACCAGCCGAGCTTCACGGAGAGGAGATTGTGTGCCCTGAGCGTGAGGGAGGCACATTTGGGGAAGTTCCTGGGGGAGAGGGGTTGCTCCCCGTCTCGCTGGATGGCGCGAGGAGCGGCGTCTGCACCACGTACAGGCCCTGGGCAGGCGTCCCTGTGCCGGGGGTGGGACCCTGCGCTGGGCTGCAGTCTCGCTGTTTGCCGTGTGAAGGAGAGCTGCTCTGTCCTCTTCCCCGCTTTTGTGGGGACAGATGTATTCAGTGAGGCCCGTGCCCATTTCAATGGATGGATTCTTTTAATTAAGTCAGTGGGTTTATTACTTTAATCTCTGTGCTTGTGAAAGAAGAGGGAAGTGTCCTCCCGCTTAATCAAAACAGCGCCCGAGTGTCTCCACCCTTAGAAAACTCATATGTAAGTTTCAACGTCATTCCTGGGACAGCGAAGTATGCGGTAAGGCAGCTGATGAGGGCTCTGGGTGTCTCCCTCGGCAGTTGACCGGAAATAACATGTTCGAGGCCGGGTTTATGAGGCAGAATCGTGTCTGCGAGGAACCGTCTTTTCTGGATCCTGCTGCTCTGTGCCCTGGGATGAGAGGGGCCCGTGCGCTGGGCACGAGGGAGGGAGCCTCCACACTTGCGGGGGGAAGAGGACAGACGGGCAGCTGGGGCCTCGCCCGCGCTCTCCGCCTCAGCCTCGTGCCGTGTCTCCCCAGGCCGCGTGGTGCTGGCACAGTGCAGGACGCTGCTGGCTAGCGTGGGGGCTGCGTGCCACTCGGACCACGCGGATCGGTGAGTGCGCGCACGCTGGGCCGCGCTGGGCCTGGGGCTTCCGGGGCTGCGCGGCCAACGGGGACACAAAACGTGACCAGACGTCACGGGGCCAAGGGGAGGAGGGGAAGCTGCAGCCTAAGGGGGGGCGGCGGGGAGGGGCAGGGCAGGCTGCGGGAGCTCCCTCTGTCCTCGGAAAGTGAGGGGCTTCGGGAGGTTGTGACAGCCGGGTTGGTTCCGGGTGGCCCCTGCCCGGTGCAGGAGGATGGCCGTGGCCGAGGCAGGAGGGGAGGGTGTGGGGCCCAGGCATCCGAGACTGGCCCGACCCCGGTGCAGGAAGAGCAGGGCTTCGGTTTCCCACTCGCCGTGAGGGGGGGGCCCGCAGAGGTGGGTGCAGTCCCGGATGAGACAGCCGGGGCCCCACAAAGAGCCGAGCCATGGTCGGCAGCGGGCCGTCCGGGAGTCTGTGACTGGGGCTGTGGTGTGTGAGCACCTCAGGCCAGGGGGCTCCCGAGGGCCGGGTGGGCTCAGAGCTGTGCCAGGGAGGGCTGCACGAGGGAGGGTGAGGCCAGGAGCCGGCATGTGGCAGCCCGAGTGGCTGTCGCAGTGAGGCGACTGCAGGAGGAGGGCGCTCAGGTGGGCCACCGCTCCCAGAAAGCTCCCCACAGCCCTCCAGAAAGGATCTGAGTGGCCCATTTCCCAGACGGGGAAGCTGAGGCAGGTGCAGTCTGTAGTCTCACCAGGCACAAGATGAGGGGGAGGGGACGAGGCGCCTGAGGAGCTGTGCCCAGGGGCGCGGCTGGGAGGGGGCAGGTGTCCATGTGGCCCCTGCAAGGGTGGGAGGGGAGAGGGGTAGAGGCAGATGCTCACGGCTCTTGCGGAAAGTGGGGGTGCCCTCTGGAATGGGCAGGGGGCCAAGAGCTGTGGGCCCTGTCCCCTCTCTCCCCTGCGCTGCGGGGGCCTCTGGCACGGACCCTCGGGAACCACAGCGAGGGAAGTCCCCGCTCCCACCTAGGCCTGGGGACGGCTTTCAGGGGCTCTGTAATGTGACAGCGACCTTTGCTCTGCTGTTTCCACCCTGGGGCCTGTGTATGGGGGCCCCCACGGGCCCTTGAACCGCGCACCCTGCTGGGGATGGGAGAGCACCAGCACCGCCCCGAACACTGGCCTCGGGGTGTGAGAACCCCGCATCTCCTCCGAGACCCGCCCGCACTCCTCGAGGGTCGGAAGCCCTGGAAGGTGGGGCTCGGCCTCACCGGACACAGCTCTCCCGGGGGCAGAGGGAACGTGCCGGGCGAGGCCGCAGTACCGTGCAGGAGTCCGAGCACGAGACCGTGGACCCGGAGGCCGGGGGCCTAGAGGTGTTTGGCAGAGAGGGGAGATGGGTCTACACAGCCCCATCCTGGGGAGCTGGTGGAGAGCAGGAGGGGCAGGGTCCCTTCCCCGAGCCCTGGGGAGCACAGAGAGCCCTTCCCCTCTGACAGCTGACAGGCTCTCCTCGCCCCCACCCCCCAGGCCGTCCCCGGTGCTGCTGAGCTGTGGCATTCCCTTCGACGTGGCCAGGAACGCACTCCGGCTCAGCGTGGGCCGCAGCAACACCAGGGCCGAGGTGGACCTCATCGTGCAGGACCTGAAGCAGGCCGTGGCCCAGCTGGAGGGTCAGGCCTAGTGCCCAGGGTGCCCCATAGGAAGCCGTGCCGAGGGCCGTGCCAGAATGGCTCTCCTGATTTGTCCCAGTCTTAGTCTTGTCCCAGAGTGTCTGACGCGGAGATGGGTCAGTGGGTGTGTGTGCGCACACGTGCTCTGGGCCCCCTTCCTGTCCTCGGGTCAGTGGAGAGCCGGTCTGTCGGGCAGGCAGACCCCACAGGTGCTTCTAGGCCCAGGACACAAACCTGTGTGGGACTGTCCCCACCACCCCGCGGCGCAGGTTGAAGTGGAAACATTTCAGCTGTGTCAGTGCTCCCCTCTGGGAATTGGGGTGAGCCTGTTGTGAGTGCCACCTTCCTGGAAGGTGGCGTTTTTACCCAGAAGATAACATCCTAGTATTTACAAACCGTTGTCAGTTGCTACCATGAACATAGGAAACCTGATTTTTGCTGCAGTCATGGCCTCCCGTGCCTGTTGGCACCGAGGTCCGTCCGCCCGTGTTCTCCGATCTTGCTCTTGGCCCTTCCCAAGCCCTTCCGAGGTCAGGCCCCGCTCCCTGCTCTGTGTCCCCCCACTTCCCCGCCCCGCCTGACCTCTGCACTCAGCCTGCCAGCCACCCAGAGCCACCAGGCCCCACCGGCCTTTTCCCTGTGGTCATTTACTCAGGGTTCCAGCGCAGACGTGGGAGTCGGGGGGCGGCCGGGCTTATGTGACCCCGGCTCATTCCTGCGGTGGGAAATGAGTTTGTCCCTAGCTCCGCTGGCATGATGATGTTATTCCCAGATGGATTTTGCTATCCTTACCCTGCTCTGCGACGTCCTGATACACCCTGGACGGTGTGACTTACAGAGCTACTTCACGTAGCAGTGATTTCTTAATACACTTTTAACATGTGGTTTTAAGGTGCAAAGAACTACATGATGACATTGAAGAGACTGTTGTCAGAAATTAAGTGAATAAAATATTCCAATGCTGCTATTAGACGTTTATGGTTTCTCCGGGGGTCACCGATGTGTCGGAGCTGGCTGCAGAGCTGGTGTTGGAGGGGTGTGTAGTGACCCCACTTTATCGCTGTACGAGTAGGCTTCAGCTTAGGAAATTCAGCTTGACACTGTCTCTGCGAGTCCCTAGAAAGTGGGTCACTAAAGTAGCGTCCCGCTGCCTCCAGGCAGAGGCCATGCTGATCCCAGTCGGCCCAGGAAAAAGCCATGGGTGCCAGCTCCACTGAAGAGAAGAGTGTGGGACAAGAAGTGCGGCAGCCCTCAAGAAACCCCCTTGACCTTCAGCCGCAGCCCCAGAGACCCTCACTCGCCTCGGAGGCCTTCCTGTCTGGGGTTAGGGCCCTGGGCCCATGGCTGGCTCTGACAAGCTGCTGCTCCCCAGAGGTTTATGGAGCCTCCAAGGCCCAAGGCCAGCGCAGGGCCAGGATCTGGCATAGATCCCCCAGGAGGCAGGTAGGCCCTTGGCTCCGTGGGTGAAGACCTAGCCGGACTCCAGCGCACGTGGCCCTGAGTTCCCCAGAGAGGGCCCTCCTGTGGATGGGTCTGCCCTCCCATGAGAGGAGTCTCTCAGGTGGGCTCCCCCTGGGCCAGCACAGCCTCCGGGCTACAGCCCAGACGAGAGGAAGCAGATGCGGGGGAGCCTACTGCCTTCCTGGAAGGACCCTGGGGGCCGTAAACACCCACCGGCTGCAGGAAGTCCTCAGGATGAGAGCCACGGTGCATCTCAGTGCTTGCTCCGCAAGAGGAAGAGGCCCAGGCCAGCCTCTGCCAGCCAGCACCCACCCCTGACTTGACCCCAGTGCAGACCCCTCCCCCGGGCCCACCGCAGCTCTGGCCACCGCAGGCGTGCTGGGGTAGGGCTGCGAGGCCCAGTCTCCCGAGGCCTGCCCACCCCGTCCCCCCGCCCCCCGCCCGCCCGCTGCGTCCCATCTGCCCTGTGCACCGCTTATCGGGTAACCGGAGCTGGGAGCTTCGTCCGCGCCTGAAACAGGAAGCCTGGCCCTGTGCGTGAGCCGCTGAGAGCCCCGAGTGGCTGGGCTGGAGGATGGAGGAGCAGCGGGCGCTCACGGCCGCCAAGGACGGGGACCTGGCCACCTTGAAGCAGCTGCTGGAGGCCGGCGCCCTGGGCCCAGGCATCGTCGACGCCCTGGGGGCTGGCCTGGTGCACCACGCCACCCGGGCCAGCCACCTGGCCTGTGTCAAGTTCCTGGTGCAGCAGGCTGAGCTGCCCGGCAACCAGCGGGCCCACAACGGGGCCACCCCTGCGCACGATGCCGCTGCCATGGGCAGCCTGGCCGAGCTGTGCTGGCTGGTGCGCGACGGGGGCTGTGGGCTGCAGGTGAGTGGGGGGAGCCGTTGAGGTGGGGCCCGCGTCCCCGTGGACTGGGGGAGCAGGAGCCGGGAGCCGGACGCTCTGGGCACCACAGCTCTGGCTTCTGTCTCGGACTCGCCGTGCAAGCCCCACGGCAGAGGCAGGCCCGCCTCACCCCAAACCAGCACCGGGCCCTCGTAAGCCCGGGCCGCCGCCCACCGCGTGCGCCCCGGGGCAGGCCCAGAGCAACCAGGCCCTCTCCCCGTGCCCTCCCCGCATCGGAGCGCCTGGCCTCGCCGGGTAAGGGGGCCGCGTGTTCCCATCAGGCCGGATCCAGGGGGCCTGCTTCCCAAAGGTCTGTAAAGGAGCACAGTGGCCACACTGGCTCAGGAGCTGTGCGCCCGGCTTGAACGACGGGAGGCCTCGGCGGGTGACAGCAGCCCTGCTGTGGGGGGGGCACTGGGAGAAGGAGGGTCTCCAGGGCTCAGTGGCCTTTGCAGCCGGGCCTGCCCTCCCCCTTTTCCTGCCTGCCTGGTGTCCCTTTGTCCAGGTGGAGGACCTGGGACAGTGGGCAAGCTCCGAGAAGTGGCACCGGGTCCTGGACAGGGAAGACACCGGCCCCTTCAGCTCTTCCCGCAACCCGAGCGGCAGCGGGGGAGGGGGAGCGGTGCCCATTTCCGTGCCTGGGAGCATGCCCGGGCCTGCCAGCTGCTTGCCATGGGAGTGCTTCGGGCCGCGAGGATCGTGGTTGGCGGGTGGGTGCTCAGCTGAGTAGGGGACAGAGGCCAGAGGCAGGGCCCCGGGACCGGTAACAGGCCATAGAGCCTGACGTGGGCAAGGATGGGCCCGTGGAAGCCCTTCCCGCTGTGAGCCGAGTGCAGGGAAGGGCCATGACTGCCGTGGACAGAGGGGCCCGGGTGCAGTGGGATCATGGGTTTGGACCTGGAAGACCTGCAATTGCGTTCCCGCCCTGCCTCCTCCCCCAAGCGGGCCACCTGGCTCAGCCGACAGAGAGGGAAGAGCAGACCCCCTTAGGGCAGGCTGGCAGGGCAGGCTGGGTGGTGGGCTCCTGGGCCCTGGGACTGCCCAGCCGGGGCCGCGCCTGTCACAGGCTCCCTGCCCTTCTGTGCCCCGCAGGACCAAGACAACTCGGGCGTCTCTCCGCTGCACCTGGCCGCCCGCTTCGGGCACCCTCTGCTGGTGCAGTGGCTGCTTCGGGAGGGCCACGCGGCCTCCCTGGAGACCCTGGAGGGGGCCCTGCCCCTGCATCACGCCGCCGTGAGCGGCGACCTGACCTGCCTGAAGCTCCTGGCTGCGGCCCACGGCAGGTGAGGAGCCAGAGTGCCCCCTGTCGGCCGTCTGCGAGAGCCAGCCGCCAGGGAGGCGGGGCCGAGGGGGCAGAGGGGGACAGGCTGGTGGCTGGGGACGTGGGCCCTGCAGGGCAGGCACTGGAGGGGAACAGGGAGCGCACAGTGTGGGGCCAGAGCGGCGGTGGGGGACCGACGAGACTCGGAGCGGGGCAAGGACCTTGATCCTGCCGGCCAAGGGCAGTGCTGGGCCGGACACAGGCTCAGGCTCGTCCTAGCGGCGCGGGGGGCGGTGGGAGGGGCCGGGAAGCTCCCGCAACTGCTCTCGGTCAGCCTGGGGGCATGTCAGGACCCACGCTCCCCCAGCTGGGAAGGTGGGCACCCTCCAGTCTCCTGCAAAGAGCAGAGGCCTACAGTGCACTCGGGGGGTACTGAGGCCCCAGTCAGGGCACCCCGGATTGCCCTGCCACACTATCCCCTCCCCTGCACTGGGCACCCCTCCGGGGCGGCCAGTCTCGTGCCGGTGGCCCTGTGCCCGCTGCCCAGAGTTGGTGCTGGGCAAACTGGGAGTGGCAAGGATGGGATGGGCCCAGCCTAGGCAGGGCCAGCCAGGCTCCCCTTCCTCCTCCTGAGAGCCTGTCCAGTCCTTGGCCCACACTGAGGATGCCGTGGGCACCATGCCGGGCCGTCCGGGGGCGTCATGCGCATGGCCTCCCCGCCACCATTCCCAGGGCTGCAGGCCTGGCCGGGTGTGGGACTTAGTGTCCACCCCACACCTGACCTAGCCTTCCCCCCACCTCAACCCACCTGCCTCCAGCCGCGCCTCTTCTCCTTCTGGGGCTTAGGCTGCAGGGCTGGCTCTTCCTGCTGCCCCACACCGGCTTCTCCACAAGGTCCGAGAGCTCAGCTCTTCCTTGGTCTTCTCATCCCACCCCCTTGGCGAAGGTCCTGGGACTTGCTTCTACGGACCCTGTGGGCACCCTGGGCCTGGCCAGCCACAGAGGGTCCGTTAGACTCCGTTTTTAAAGTAGTTTTTACCATGTAAAACCTGGAGACTTCACATTAAAACACACAAGTGTGCCTGCGGTGTCTCAGGTGTCCCTAGCACCCCCATTCCCACCTGGCACCGACCACGGGGTGAAGCCTGCGTCACCAGGGGCTGGGCTCGGCCTTGGGTAGGGGACTGTCCCTCCCTGCAGCATTCCACTGGGGACCAAGGACTCACCTGGCCCCACGGCAGCTCAGGCACAGCGGGCTCGGGGGACTCCCATGACCCTCCTCCAGTCTGTCCATGCTGGAGCCTGGAATTCGGATGCCAGGCCTGGGCACTGCTCACCATGCCCTTTCTTGCAGAGCGCGCCCTGGGCTCTGGAGGCTCAATGACCTGCCCGCTGCCGGCTCCCCTAGGCCGTTCACTTACCAGCAAGCCCCAGCACCGTGAACAGCTGAACGGCTTGATGGGGAGTGTGCAGAGCTGGATTCCAGGATCCCAGTGGTCGGGGCAAGGGGGTTATGGGGTGTGGGGGGCGCTGCTGGTGCCCTTGAGCAGTGCACAACCTGTACAACCCTATAGGTGACCAGCTAGGAGGCCCCTCAGCCATTAAGGGGGGGCTGGGCACAAACAGACCAGCCAAGGGCTGGGCCTCCCATCCCCTCGATCTGGGCCTTTAGTTGGGGCAGCCCCTGCCTCCTGCAACCCCCACCAAACACCCTCTGAACCTCACCTTCCCCCACAGCGGTGTGAACCGGCGGACGCACAGTGGGGCCTCTCCGCTCTACCTGGCCTGCCAGGAGGGCCACCTGCACCTGGCCCAGTTTCTGGTGAAGGACTGCGGTGCCAACGTGCACCTGCGTGCCCTCGATGGCATGAGTGTGCTGCACGTGGCTGCTGCCCACGGCCACTACTCGCTGGCCGTCTGGCTGGTAAGTGGGCGCCGGGGGTGTTGTGGCATGGGAGGGGCAGAAAGGCCAGCACCTGCTCCTTCCTCGGCCCCAGAGCCCCCTCCGAGCAAGCAGGGCCTGGCTGGGGTGGGGGCTCTGCTTCTCTGGGTCTCAGTCTGCCCACAGGAAAACCGGGGACCCCACAGGGTTGTGGGGGATCAGATGTGCCCGGCCATCACTTTGAGCACCGGTGTGTGCAGGCCCAGACTGGGCCCGGGAGTGCAGCCTTGACAGGCAGTGGCCCCTGAAGGGCAGGGGGGACTCTTGTGACCCCTCCCCCAGGAGTCCTGGGGGTTTTCCTGGCGCCCTCAGGGCGGGTGGCCCCCAGCGGGCACTGGTTGTTCCTGGCCCTGCATTCGGCCACTTGTTCCTGCTCTCTGTCTTTGAGCCCCCAGTCTCTTCTGTTCTGGACCCAGGGAA